AAAGAGTTCATCATGTTTAGAAACTCCCTAGTGGAGCTGTTAGATAGATCCTCAGAGTGGATGTTGAAATCTCCAACAATGATTATCCTGTCTAGTTTAATAGTTGAAGATAGGAGATCCTGAAAGTCAGACAGGAAGGATGAAGTAGATCCAGGTGGGCGATAGACCAGAATTCCATAAACTGGTTGAACTCGACCAATTTTAATCATAATAATAATAATGCATTGAACTTATAAAGCGCTTTTCTAGACACCCAAAGACGCTTTCATACACTCTCACATTCACACACTGCTAGTGATGGTAAGCTACTTGTAGCCACAGCCGCCCTGGGGAGGTCTGACAGAGGCGAGGCTGCCATTTGGCGCCGTCGGCCCCTCTGACCACCACTAACACAGGCAAGTTGGGTGAAGTGTCTTGCCCAAGGACACAACAGCAGGATACCCCTGGCGGGAGCTGGAATCGAACCCATGACCCTCCGATCATGAGGCAACCCGCTCTACCACCTGAGCTACTGCTGCCCCAATCATGATCATCTCGAATGAGCTGTAGGAGTTTGAGGATATAATTTGGCTTGAAAAGTGTTTCTTAAAGATAACAGCTGTTCCTCCACCGCGGCCTGTGGTTCGTGGAGCAGAGAAGAAAGAGCAGTCTTGAGGACAGAGCTCACGGAGATGAGTGACATCATTTTCGCGCTGCCACGACTCAGAAATCCACAAAAAGTTTAATTTTTTGGTCCAGAACAGATCGTTGAGGATGTGAGACTTGTTGGCGATGGAGCGCGCGTTAATCAACATCATTTTCATGGAGGAATCTGGCGATGTGTGTGCCGCGGGCTCGATAATGGCGGTCGGCTGGCGGGCTAAGCTACGTAGCGACTCCAGGCTACGCCCGCGGAGGTTCTTTGTCTCCCACGCCTTCAGGTAGCGTCCCGCATCAGGGGCTTCATTTAGCAGCGAGATCAGCCCAACTCCGTTAAGTTTCTGTTGGATCCGCCACAACACAGCCGCGGAGCAGCGATCAGGCAGAGCTTCGTCTCTCAGGATCTTTCGAAGCTGAACGAAGAAGCCGGCTCTCTTCCCCCGTTTCCTCTTCCATGGCCTCCTGGGCAGCGGCAGGCCGACAGGTAACAGAGGGCCGAGACCTGGGTTAACGCCAGGTTCCAGAGGCGGTGGGAAAGCGGGTCCGGTATCGGAGTTCTGGAGGTTGATCATCGCGGACCTGATCGACAACAGTAAGTCTCGATCATATGTTAGCAGGGACTCCGCACCAGATAAAGAAGAAACAATAAAAAACACCAAATAACTAAAAAAAAATCAGGAGCCTAGCAAACGGACAGCCACTCATGGGCGCCATCTTGGTCCAGACCAGGTGACTGTAGAGAAACTGTGCCAGAGTTTCAGTGTGTTTGGGCTACCTAAAATGTTAGTTTCAGACAACGGAACATGTTTCACCAGTGCTAAATTTGAGTCATTCATGAAACAGAATGGAATTGACCATGTGAGATCTGCTCCTTTCCACCCTTCTTCAAATGGGCTGGCTGAGAGGGCGGTCCAGACCTTTAAGGAGGGGATGAAGAAAGTCAAAGGTGATACCTTACAAACCAGACTGTCCCGATTTCTGTTCAGTTATCGCATCACGCCGCACGCCACTACTGGTTTATCACCAGCAGAGTTGATGATGTCACGGAGACTCAGATCAGTTTGGGACTTGCTCATGCCTGATGTGAAAACTAAAGTGCAGCACAAACAATTGAAACAGAAAGAAAATCATGACACCAAGAAAAGACTGAGAAGTTTCACACCAGGAGACCAGGTCTTCATCAGAAACTACTCCTATGGCCCGAAGTGGATTCCCGCAGTCGTTGTGAGAGCATCGGGTCCAGTGTCTTACATTGTTACCATTGGATCAGGTCAAACTATGAAGTGGCACGTGGATCAGGTGAGAGCAAGATTGGCTGACACTGTGCCCAGTACAGTGGACAGGGAGGTGGAGCCATTGCAGGACCAAGAAGCAGTGCCTGAGTGCTGTTGGCCAGCCGGAACATCACCACAACCTACGGCATTGGAGTTGCCTGATGCTCCGGAGACTCCGGCTCCTGGAGACCCCTCCTTGTCACCCGTGTTGTGATGTTCTCAGAGAGAGAGACGTCCACCAGAGACTTTAAAGGACTTTGTTAGATAGTGTGAGATCTTCCAGGAATAGAGCAACAAGGTGTTCTGATATCATTGAAATATATGTTAGGTTGGATGGTTACCATGATTACGTGTTGATTGTTTGTTAAGCATTCTTTAGATAAATTGTTATTTTGTAGATCACGGGAGTTGGGACTTAAAGGGAGGAGGAGATGTGGTATCGCGAGGAATTAGTAGTTCATATAAATATCTGAGTACGCATAATAGTTCTTATTCACAGATACATACATCTCAGGTTCCTGTTTTTCTTCTGAAAGAAATAGAAGAGGTGTGTTGTTACAATGGTAAGGCCAGGAGAGGCAGTACAGAGCTCCGGACCCCACGTGACTCTCAGTTAGTAGACGCCATATTGGCAGGTAAAAGAAGCTAAACAAACACGGGTCGTAACCATGAACGTGAACGGGATCAGCTTGGATTTTACTTCGTCGGAGTTTACTTCACACTTTAAAACCGAAGAAATCGTTTTATATAGTCAGAAATTAAATAGACTAAACATCTTCGTTCCTTACCGTGCCCCTGGGATACTTTTTAAAAACACCAGAAGCTGTCGGAGCGGACTTCTTACCGGACCTGGCCGGGGAACCCCTTGGGATTTACCCGGAAGAGCTGGCTCAGGTGGCTGGGGAGAGGGAAGTCTGGGCCTCTCGACGCTACTGCCCCCACAACCCGACTCCGGATACGCGGATGAAAATGGATGGATGGATGGACAAATAACAGATTTACTTGTAAGTAGTTTAAATAGAGTGCTGTGCTGTTTGAATGTATAAACTGAACACCAAGAGAAATCACTAGTTTGATTGTTTTCCGTGAATAAAATAAAAATGTCAGGCAGGAGCGTCTCAGGATCTGTCTGAGATCTGTCTCGGTGAGACAGATAATAGCAATCCAAAGTGCTTTTTAAGTGTGCTCTAACAATTGATCAACCACTGCTTAAAAATTAAATACAGCTTAGCCGGTTAATTGCTGTGATCATAAAACACGTAAACGGCAGCATGCAGAACTCACGAGGCAACGTTTTACGTGACGTTTACTTGTTGCTATGAGTAGTAAGACAGAAAAAGCCACGCCAAAATAAGTTTAGGAAGCCCACTAAGAATAGTAATAAAAGCATTTAAAATAAATACCATACACAGTTGAGGAAACGTTGGTTTAAGTACCTGATATGAAGTGGTCGCTGCATAAGTGAAATCCTTTACTCTCGGGATCCCACAGCTTCATTTTAGCCCGGTCACTAACGCGTTTTATTACAATGATCCAATGTTTGCGGCGCTCCGGATCTTGGGGAATCCTGTAGATGGCTCATTCCTTATGTCGTCCGCGTCTGTTCTGCATCCTGGGGCACAACACGAATCTACCATTTTTCCCGTTTGATTGAGTTTTCTGACAATAATAAATAGTCCAGCTGCCGGCTTCTACCTGCCAATATGGCGCTGTTTCGATTTGAACTGTTGCATGCCGGGAGAAATGACGTCAACTCCCGGAGCTCTATAGGCTCTGTGTTACATAATGTTGTAAGAAAGTAGAAGAAGAGTGTGTCCGGTAGCAGTAAGTACCAAAATGGATGGTGATGTTCTGTACATGTTCTGAATAGACGGTTCAGTAAACAAGTTGCAACGACACTCCGGAGTAAGGCTCAGTTATTTTATTTTTTGAAGATGCAACAGTCCTCGTCTTTTCGGACAGTGCGAGCTATTTCTCTCCAAGAATTATTAACAACATGTTGATCACGGCGATCTTTGAGAGCTGAATCATACAAATGTCGGTATTTACGAACCTCTGCCATACTAGTTCTTGCCGGTCCGCCGTGTTTTTCCACGTCCGACCGTCCGAGTGGTTACAAAATTTCCTAGGTGCGCGTTGCGGAAATTTTGGGCCGTGTGGAGGTGTGGTTGTTAAAATGACGCAACATTTCCGCGCGGAGCCATGCGGACCTCGCGGACGTGTCAAGCATAAACCAACCTTTACAGCCCCACCCTAAGCTCCACCCCTCTTCCCTTTTGTGGAATTGTCTGGGCTTGACGGAACCTGTGACACGGTCAAAATGGCGGTGGTGGCCACCTCCCATTTAGCCAAGCATGTTATTGGAGTCTATGGGAACCCATTGTCCAATATCTATATGTCTATATGACCAATATCTATTTACCCCCCCCCCCCCCACAGATAGTGGCACATCAACTGACTGGTCAACACACAACGCTCATACGAGACCTCCTCCTCCTAGTGACAGTTTTCCATATCTGACATTTAATAATGTGGGGAAAATAGGAAATTTACTAAAACTGTCTAATCTTTCCAGGACTCCAGTGCAGCTCTTTAGAAACCGGCTCAGACAAGTCTGAAGTGGTGCTGTCACCTAGTGGCCTTGTCGACACATTACAGTATCACAGCTCAGACTAGTGAAAGGCGCCTCAGTATTTTTGAAGGAAAAAATGATGGTGCTAAATCAAACCTGGAACGGATCTATTAAAGCTAGATCTGGTTTATTTTTAATGAATATTTGGTGAAAATTGATGAACATGAAGTCAGTCTAGCTGAATGACTGAAAACAGACTCATGATAAAGGAGTCAGATAAACCAACACAAAGACTAACATAAGTTGAGTCCCTTCTAATGAATTCATCTGGAACCAATCCTCTACTGCTATGGACGGATGTAAACACATGAAATCCCCCAGACTGCTGTTTTTTTAACACTTTGCCCAAAATAGTAACTCTCAGGAAACTTAGAACAGAAATCTGTCACTGGAACAGTATTTCCTTAAGAAGATCAGAATGACATGATGCAGACAAACAAAACATTTACTCAGAATTCGTCTTCCTGGATTTATTTTTTATTGTTTTATCCATTCTGAGCGATACATCGCTCAGCCACAGAGAAACTTAGTTTTTTATGCTGATTTATCCAAAATCCACTTGCATCGTTATCTTACTCAGCTGGTCCAAACAGCAGCTAAGCTACAGTTGTTAGAAACAGTTTATTAAAAAAAACTCCAGCTCCTCTGAAGTGGTTTCTCTGGTAGAGTCCAGGTTTAGTGAACACAAGCACTTCAGCTTTAGGATCCCATCAGAACGTCACCACTTTAGCCTGCTTTGGTTTGGCCTTCTTCACTGGAACGTGGACGTCCTCCAGGTCTGCACTCAGATTGTTAGACATCCAGCCCAACGTCACAGAGTTAGCTGTTAGAAACAAGAACAGGAACATGAAACTAAATGTTTTCTGTCTCCTATAAAATCTCATTTATTAGGCTGCTGAGTAAATATTTAATTAAAAGTATATACAAGTATGATGCCCTTTTGGTTTTACTGATGATTAAAACAATCTTAGGGTCACCTCTTTTCAAACAGAAATATTTTTTATTTTTATTTTTTTGAAAACAATAATAAAAAAATCTTTTTCTGTGAAAAGGGAAATTCTATAAGACTGAATGGATTAGAGATGTTTGTTAATAATCATACTTACTACAAATATGTTCTCCCAAATCAGATATTTTTGGGATGTTGTTTTGCTGTAAAATCTGTAATAGTAAATGAGTGATTTTCTCTGATCAAACCACTGATTTCCAAGTTTAAAGTAGATCTGGATGATCCAGTTTGACTTTTTTATTGTTCTGATCTGACCTAATGTTTGGTCTGCATTATGAAATGTCTTTTTAACACAGATCCCCTAAACAAATGTAGCATAATACTCCATAAAAGAAGGAGAACACTCACTGGCAGCCTGATGCTCTGGACAGTCCTTCTGAAAATGTTCCACGGAGCCACAAACACGACAGCATCCTCCTGCGAACACAAATCCTCCACTTATCAGATCCAAAAGAGTCTGGCAGGAACCAAAGGTTTCATAAACTACAGCTGATAAACAAGTGTTCACAGAGAGGCCAGAGATATGACAGAGTACAGCTAAATTAAGACTAAAAACACATGAAAATAAACAGCTGCATTTAGGTTTGTTTCTGATATTAAACTAATCCAAGCAGCAGATTAGAAACAGAGATATCATGTCAAACATGGGATAATCCATGTGCATACATTTCCCTGAAAAGCATCAACAGAGTGCCTGTATAAGTAAAAAAAAGGGTAGGTAAACAATAAATTTATCACAAAAATAAATATTTGAGAAATATTTGTTACTCTTTGTGTGTGTGTGTGTGTACAGCATTTTGGTTTGTCCTCTGTTCCATGAAAAGTGCTTTTTAAATAAAGCTGTTGATGATGAGAAATAAATGAAATGTCAGATAAAAAAATTATACAGATATAAAAACAAATAAAAAATAAGTTAAAAACCTTAGATCCAAGTTTAGATCATCTTTATGACATAATGTTTACAAGAGAACATGAAAAACACCGTGGTCTCTAACAGTGTGTACCATTGTGTGTAATGCCCAGATCACACTAATTCCTCGTCCTGAGTAGCCTGGCAAGCCAGACTAAATAACCGAAGTAGACCAAATTCTTGCTTTGCAAAGCAAGAATTTGGTCTAGTTCACTAGGCTACGTCCTGAGCAGAATCGTGAAAAAAAACGGTCAGCGTGAGGGTGATTTGCATATATGTGCACCATGCTGTGAACGTACAGTGTGACCCGCTCTGCGACAGCTTTTTGAGCTGTCTAACAACCAAATCAGCCTCTGAGTCTACAAGCACTGCTTGAAATCCTACGATTCCTGTCTGCAATCGACCAATGAAAACACACCTTTAGGATGCCGCAGCAGCAAGACTCTGCCTCTCTGAATGTCGGTTTCAATTTATGTGTAAAATGCAGATTATAAACTACACACCAGTTTTTATTTCTGTTAATAGCCCAAATTAAACAGAAGTTATACTTAAAATAATTAAACTACCTTTTTTAGACCATCAGCTGAATTGGGAAAACCTTGATTCTGTGATCTGCGAGAACTGAGAGGAGATGAGCTCCCAGACATAAAAAAAAAAAAAAAAAAAAAACACTAAAACACGAGAACCCTTTGCTGTTTGTGAAAATCTCACATATTCAACCGATAAAGATGGTTCAGTTGCGTTATGCTGCAGGGGGACAGAGGAAGCTCTGAGACAGCAGGTGTGAGCTGTCACATGGAGACAGAATTCACAACAAAAGTTATATTGCAGCGATCTGTGACAGATTGTTTTTTTTCTCTGTAGTTTAGTGGGTTCTTGTGTATAAAAGAGGAGAAGGACGAATGACCAGCTGACAGCTCTGCTGTTTAGCTGGAAGACGGGAAAAGGAGACCCGCAGTCGGAGTTTGACGCCAAAGCGAGGGTTTTAAAAACAAAGCTTCCTCTTTGAGGAAGATGAGTTGGGTCATGAACTGGCACTAAAATAAATGTTTTTATTTTTTCAGTTTTGGTTAGCGGTCTGTTTAGTGACATATGCTTTGGGAGGTGCGCTCATGATTACAGCTGGGCAATAAATCGAAAATTTATTGTTATCGAAATTTCGGACTCTTATCGAGATAATTTTTCCCATGTCAATAAATTTGATAATGAAAAAAAAAAAAAAAGAAAAGATGTGTGTAGGTTGGCAACGTTCGTGTCCCTTTAAGAAGTGGTACCACCTTGAGTCACGTAAAAATGTACTCAATGCAAGCCCCCATAATTCGAGTCTGGATATGAAGCAAAACAGGAAGTGAGAAAAATTGCAGTTCCACCCTCATCCGCTGGGGGCTGGTGTCAGAAACGAGTAACTCCTCAGTAGCTGCGTTTTCATGTGCCTAATTTCCTCAATCCGATTGAAATCTTGGTTGATCGGAATTTCCGAATCTCTGTTCACATGGACACGAACTGAAATGATCCGATCATGCCGTGCGTACATATGCACCAAGCATTTAATCCGATTAAATAGGTTGAGCATGCGCAGAGTTGCCTTTCACGAAAGAAAAATTGTAAACAAACGCCATGAAACGAAAAGAAAAATGTAAAAACAGAAATAACTATTCTTCCTGCTTTCCTGATCCATTTATTCAATTTAATATTTTTATTTAGCTCATAGAAGTGACGTTTTCTTCAGTGAATAACTGCAGATATATGCTTTGCTGCATTTTATTGTTGATTAAAATAAGGGAGGGTTATATCTCTGCCTCTTGATCAGCTGGTCCGCAGGTCTGAATTGACAGCTGTTGCGCTGCGCTGCGGCACAGAGCGGGGGTGGGGGGTGGGGGTGGGGGGTGGGGGGGTGGGGGGTTAGCCTCATGTTTTATTACTGAGCTCTGTTGTGGCTTATTATTAATAACATGTGACGATCAGCTGAAACTGTTGAGAAAAATCTGTTCAAACAAAATAACAGAAGATGTTCAGAAAGTTTAGAAGCCTGTGTTCATCATTAACGAACTGCATCTCAGGTCATCTGCGTTTACGTGCTTTTAACGAACACGGACTTTACTGTCGTCCAGAGTATTTAACCGATGACGTTTTCCTACCCAACATCAGCCTCCAATCAGGTCTGTAAAACCCAGATTATCCTGTGTTCTTTACAAGCGCGTCTCCATCACCTGCTGCAGAAGCTGCTGTGTTCAAAGCTGACAGAAACGGGGATCCGTGCGCTGCAACCCCCACGATAAACCCGCGTATTTCCAGTAAAGATTTGAACATCTTTGTCGAATGATTTGTGCAATAATCAGATTTTTATTTTACTTCCACAAAATGCAAGTTCTGAATTAAATATTACTGAAACGGGACGGCTTGTTGTCGGATTTAAAAGCCGCCGCTTGTTAATTACACCGTCATTTTTGAAGTCAGGCAGTCCAAATGACAGCGGAGAGGCCCGCTGGCTGTTGCACACATGCGCAGTGGGCATTGTTTTACCCCAACAATCCGAATGGCTGTGCACATGCACGTCAATCGGAATGAAGAACGGAATAAACCACTTCTCTCAATCGGATTGAAATTTCAATCCGATCGGGCCGAATCGGATCAGAATATTCTGATTGACATGTTTACATGCAGAATTTTCAATCTGAATGGGCATTCAATCCGATTAAATATGCGCATGTAAACGTGGCTATTGACTCCCATGTTAAAAATACCAATTTCACAGCAGAAACAAACATGTTTGCAGCCTGTTTCCTAAACATGTTTTAGGTTTAATAGATTTAGTTTACACTCATGACAACTAGGTAGGTAGCTAGGTAGCTACCTCTGTTAGCTTAGCTCCCACCTCTGCGTTAGCGTTGGGTTAGCTTGTAGCTACATCGCTTCAGTTCGACGGGTGTCGTCATTTGATCCCAGCCTTACAGCCCCACCCTCAGCTCCACCTCTTTTCCCTTTTTTGAAATTGTCTGGGCTTGACGGAACCAGTGACACGGTCAAAATGGCGGTGGTGGCCACCTCCCATTTTGGCACAAAAACTTATAATTGGAGCCTATGGACACGAATTGTCCAGTATATATGTCGATGACTCAATGCAATAGATTTGACAGCACCATCTAGTGGACAACTGCTGTTTCTGCGCATACCTGTAGTTATCGTCCGTTTATCATTATCGAGATGAAATCCTCATTATATAGTGATATTAATTTTAGGCCCTATCGCCCAGCCCTACTCATGATGCAGCATGTCCTGCTGGAGAGAGACGTTGTGTAGTCTGACTCTCTGAAATGTTGCACCGTACAGTGCCACCTTTCTGGAGTTCTCCCAGTGTGACATGAAAAAACCTCTGCGACGGCCAAAAATCACACAGTGTGATCCAGGCTTAAGTTACAGGTATACTTTAGATGTATGTATGTGTGTGTGTGTGTGCGTGTGTGTGTGTGCGTGTGTGTGTATACCTTGTGCATAGAGTCCTTTGGGATTGTCAGGACAAGATCGGGACAGGTGTCCAGTTTGACTGCAGATGAAACACTTGGCATATGGGAACTCACCTGAGGAGGACATGATGATTACAGCAGCACTAAAAACAAAAAAGTCTCCCTCACACAAACACACACATGGCTGAGCCTCACCCATAGCTGGGTCCACTTTGGCTTTACACTTCTGGATTTCATGCTCCGTAGAGCCACAGCGGTAACAGATACCTCGGCCCATCTCGTGGTCCCGGTCGGCTTCAGGACAGTTGGCCAATCCGTGACCGGGCTTCCTACAGTTAAAGCATAACTGAGGAGAGAGAAAACTTCTTATTTTATGTTATAATGGAAGAAGAGACTTCTTAAAATAATAAGGGCAAAATCGAGTAGCATTTGCTTGCATCTACTAGTTTTCTCAATGCTCCAGTGAGCAGAGAACTTTTATCAGAGTTACGAAGCCTCACCTGCAACCCTAGATACCTCATCAGGTGATTTGTCAGATTTGTTACCATGCATTTAGTAAACAAATAATACATGTTTCTGCCCATCTGTAAAATTGGGGAAACCAGTGCGAAGGATTAACGCTGTGCTGCAGCCTCTTAAATCAAAATCACTTGTCATGTGACGTTCACGTACGAACAGTGTTTCAAATGGTTCTTTAATGTGAACGACGAGATCCGAGTCCTTGTAGGAAAATGTTCATTTTATTATTGTCATCTTAACGTCACTCTTTGCAACTACCTGTGTGCAGTCTGCCTGAAATTTATTAGAAGGACAAAACAAGTCAGCAGCAAAAGGGGTTCAAAGGAGCCAATCTTTTAAACGGCTCTTTGATGTTAGCAGCTCCCTTCAAAGATCCTTAAGTCCCATCACTACAAATCACTCACCATTTTATTCGTCTTATCCTTCTGTCTCTTCACCCTCCTGTCCTCTCTCCTCTTGTCTTTCTTCAGAGCCACCTCCACCTCCTCTCTGAGCTGCTGCTCTCCACGCCTACCTCCTTCATCCCCTGTTTGTCCGTTCTGCTGCAGAAACTCCAGAAAGCCGTTGACATCCTCGTTGGTGTACTCTTTCTTCTTTCGATTGGGCTTCTTCACAGCAGAACTGCCAGCCTGAGTCCTCCTCAGAGGGTTCGTCTGGGAGCCTTGTGCAGCACAGGAACTGTGACCTCCTCCTCTTCCTCCTCTTAGCTGACCCCACGGAGTGGCTTCTGCTGGTTTGTTTTTGTGGATGTTATTGGCCCTGGCCCACCTCGTCATGACTGCAAACAAAGACCTGATGCTAATTATCCCACAGCATTGCAGGCTAGACATCTTCACTATCTAAACTTGCAACCACACAACACACACGCACGCGCGCACACACACACGCGCACTTCTAAAGCATGATCTGTAAAGGGTGACGTTTAAGCGCTTTAAATATTAGAAAACACACACACACTCTAGATCTAAATAATCGACTACCGAGCCGACATTCAACAAACCTGATAGTTTTGAAGGATCTCGTGTCACAAAATGATTCAGGGTTTTAAACATATAATCTAACTGTGGTGTCAGTTAGTCAAACAAAGTCTGTGTTCTAGAGTATAAAATCAACTGTACCTTATAAAGACGTTTCATTTGAAGTATATTTGAGATGTTAACAAGGCAGATTTATTGTAATAAAGATTAACTCAGACGGTGGATTAGTAATCTAGTTGTTCAAGCTGAGTTAGCTTTTAGCTAACCACCGAATGTTCCTGATTTTCGTTAAAAACACTTTAACAAAAACCTACACTAATATTCTTTGGTAAATTAAGTCTAAATTATCAAAGTAGCACCAAAAGCATTACCTTCAGCCGTTTGATCCCATGTGTTTCTATTTTTACCGGAAGTGATCAGTACCGCTTCTTCTTCCCCGGCCTCATTTAGCGTTGTAACAATGTCGTTTTGCGTGTTGTCGCCACCTACTGATCAAAGTGACACGACTCGAGGACAACGTTCAGTTGAGAATATACTTTTTATAGTAGCTAAACGTAAATATTTATTACTTTAACCCATATGTTTTATTTGGTAAACGTTTGTGCCATCCGTTTAAATTTCCTGTCATTGTAACAAAACAGGATTCTTTTAGTGAACATCCAGATCTGTTTGTTCCACATTCATCATGACCGGTTGTGGGTCTTTACCAGTAGCACAGTCAGCCAACCCTTTTGTCTTTTGGCAAAAGGACAAACCAAACCCTGAATGTCTATCTTTGTGCAACTTATTAACATTTGGAGAGATTTCAATAATGTACATAAAAATAACTGTTTTGACAGCTATGGTGTGAGAATTCTGTCATTAACAATCCACACTCAAACCTTATGATACCTCTTGAAATCCCAATAATCTTCCTAAAACAACAGTAACTGCACTTTCTTCGTTGTTTGAAAGGTACATATTTGTACCAATTCTTTAAAAAGGTATAATTTCTGGTTATAATCTCTTTCACTAAAAAACAAGCAAAGCTATACTTCTCAAAACAGATTTCATAGTTTCACTGTTCACCATTTTGTAAGCACTGAAAGAAAGTTGTAAAAGAATTTGCTGGATTAGAAATAATTAAAGGGACTGTTAGGAAGTTTGAAGTTTTATGCTCGCGATCTCCACTCAGTCCTAACGCGTAACTGCAGCTTAAAAAGTAAGTTTGTGCATGAGGTGTGCATGCTGTACGTGCACACTCCTTAATGAAAATAACAGCTGAGACAGTCCCGTGTGTGTGTGTGTGTGTGTGTGTGTGTGTGTGTGTGTGTGTGTGTGTGTGTGTGTGTGTGTGTGTGTGTGGCCCGGAGGACAGAAGAACACAGCAAATTAATGAAAATAATGTGCTTCTGTCTCTGCAGCTGCATTTTCTCGTCGGCCGGCCCAACGTGCAGTGTGTGTGTGTGTGTGTGTGTGTGTGTGTGTGTGTGTGTGTGTGTGTGTGTGTGTGTGTGTGTGTGTGTGTGTGTGGCCCGGTGGACAGGAGAACACGCAGCTAATTAATTAAATAATTTGGTTCTGTACCTTTCTCTTCAGTACAGCCGACAAAGGTTTATGATGGGTCAGTCCTCCTGCATGCTCAGATCATTCCCTTCCCTTTCTTGAAAAATTGTTCCAAAATGAAAGTTGAACCCACATCTTTTTTATCTGTGAATTCAATGCCTTTCGGCAAGTCTCAAATAAAAATTTGGGCATCTTATTACTGTAAAAAAATATATCATTAATGTAAAAAAAAAACTCCAAATAACAAATTATGTTCACACCCAGAATCAAACCCGAGTTTTCTGTTCGTGAATTAGACACCTTACAAGATGAACTGAAGCGCCAGTGACATTCATTGTATCTGTAACATTTATATCCTTGATGACAGCTGAAACAACGTCAATCTAAAGAATGGTTTGGCACAAAATGGCTATTTTGTTGCAAATGTGCAGGAAATATCTAGAAGAAAGTTCTACAGAAAGTAGCTCAGGGTCCTCATGTAGCTAGGTTTGTCACTAGGCATTAGGAACAGCGACAAAGTGGCACTGCCTCTCTCTGCTGCTAAAGCTACGGATAGCAATTGCTACGGGCTATGCCTGAGCGTGAACGCGCATGAAGCAGCCTGCTCGACCCGAGCATCTCTCTTTTTCTGTGATTTTACAGAAAAATAGGCAATCACAGTAAAAATGCCAGGGCTCATTCTACAGGACCAGGGCATTGCAGGAGAATGTATGAAGAAGACATTTATTATTGCTATACATGTTTTGGCTGTCAAACTTCCTTATAGTCCCTTTAACAATAAATTAATAAAATGTGTTGACTAATTGATTATTTTTGAAAAGAGACATTGTACCCATAAATGTACAATTTTGTACTTTAATTTCTGAGTGTGTAGACAGTTGGTAAAGTAGCCACTTGGCTGCACACACACACACACACACACACACACACACACACACACACACACACACACACACACACACACACACACACACACACACGTGCACGCACGCACGCACACACACACACACACACACACACACACACACACACACACACACACACACACACACACACACACACACACACACACACACACCGTTTCATCTCTCACTCAGACTGATTCAGACATGTCAGCCTGAGGACGGAGCCTGCAGCTCACAGCTGAATCCACTCAGTGGGATAACTGAACACCTGGAGCTTAAATCTTCTCAGCAAAGATCATTTCCACAGAGAACATGCAGCTTTGGCTCTTTGTGGCACTTGTGCTTGCAGAAATTGTCAAAAATGGTGAGGAAGTCACACTCTAATGTGGTTTATACTGTTGGTAACAAACTGAGGATGTTTGTCTGCTTTTGTGATGCAGTGGCAATGCATATCTATCACTCAGAAGGTATGTTTTTATAAGAGATTTTATTCCTGGAACACTGTTTTTATTTGATTTGTCAGACAACACAGTTTTTTTTTTGGTTGGTTTGTTTGTTTTGACTTGCTGTAACACAGAAATGTCCAGGCTAGATAATTGCTGCACCCTACTCACTAAGATTTGTTCTACCTATATTTATTTTTAAATTTAAAACCATTTAAATTCATTTTACTGGTTATTTTTGTCGCATAGCTCCTCTACTAGTTTGAGGATTTCATTTCTGAAATGACAATATGATTCCTTCAGAGCTGAGGAGTGGTGTAACGTCACTTGTGGTGGAGCGAGACGTCATGCTATTGGTAACAAAATTGTACATCAAATATTTCTTTTGGTTTTTAAAAAAAGTGTTAAATCGGATTAGTGTGTGTGTGTGTGTGTGTTTGGTTAAAAAAATGTAACTTAATTGAAGCCCTGGCCTAGTGTCAATAAGTCAAACATTTTAAATGACTACATCATTTTGACTACATGTTTTTCCTCAGAAAAGGCCAAATCAAACAGATCTGAATTTTCCTCATCCTTGTGAAGAAGTAACACCGTATCGAAAGGTAAGTACTTAACAAAGTGAGCCACATCTGCAACATAATACAATGTTAACTCGGACTGCATTATTTTTCTTTAACTGGACAGTTTCATTTTTGCAAAACTGTCTCTGATAAATACATTTCAGTGCAACTGAACTCAAACGCACCATGATGTGTTTTATTTTTCCACAAAGATACACAATCAATGATGAGCAGGGGTCTGCTTCTAGACCTACAGAAAAGGGACACTCAACAATACAACAGGAGCAAGCTATCACTGTATCAATGAACACATGTATTTAATTTTTCTAATGGTCACCCTCTGGGTTGACAAGGTGGTGTGTGAAAAGTTTGAACATAGCCTCTTGGGTGTGACGACATTCAAACGTTGCAGCTTCAGCATCATGACTGGCTCTCATCTAGACCTTTTCAGTCTGAAAGGTTTGATCCAAACCAAAATTGGATTAAAATTGGTGCTCATGTAATCTGAAATGTTTCTAATTTCCTAGAAGTTCTGAGGCCAAGTAGGACATCTGTCCTGTTTATCCTACCTGTGTTTGCTCTACAGAAGAGGAATGCTGTGGGAATTCCTTGGCCAACAAAAAACATACCATATGAAATAAGTTCAGAAATGGGTAAGACGTAAGATTTTCACCCCCCAGTTAGTGAATCCTTGTTTCATTGCTGCTTTCATGTGCAGAGAACCAAATGCCTGACATCCTGGCTGCTATGGAAATGATCTCCAACCACACCTGCATCTCTTTCCACGAGAGGAAACCTGATGAGCCCAACTACTTGTTCTACAAAGTCTCTGAAAGGTGTGAAGAGTAAACACTGGTAGGAGGTTTACTAAATCAGGAGGACTCTCATCACATCTCCATGGTGATTCAAACGGGGCTAAAATCTGCTTAGTGTACTTTCAGAATGTAACTTTAAAGCCATAAAATTTTAAAGATTACATTTTAGTCCTTGGGGGGGTTTGTCCTATTTTTGGTCGAACTTTGCTCATCACCTAGCAGGTGGAGTAGTTTAAAGACCACAAGATGAGTTGATATTTTTATGAACTGTGAAGAAATCTGATAAAAAAAACAGGCATTTTTCAAACAATTCATTTGCAAAGGAGCACTAGGTGGACTGCATTTATCACTGCTCAGCTCAGAGCTGCTATCATGGCTTGTTTACACTAAAAACTAGCATTCATAATTACCAGATGCTGACAGTCTTCTGGTTGTTTCTCTCCAGCTGCACAACATATATAGGCTTTACTGGTGGCCAGCAGGCTGTGCTGATTGGGCCTCAGTGCAGTATGGGTAACATCGCCCATGAAATCCTTCACAGCCTGGGTTTCCATCATGAACACACCCGGTGGGACCGCGACAACTTCATCAGTGTTGTTGAAGCCAACATCATAGCAGGTATTAATGAATTACTGTTAAAATATTAACTTAAGTTAATTCTAGACCAAATGACAAATGGGTTGCAAGTTTTCTTGCTGAAAGGTAGTGGATAATTGTGCTTTACAGCATTCAAACTATAGTGATCCTGTTTCTCTTTATAGTCTGTTAGTTTATTCTGCTTCCGTACGTTTTTTTGGCATTCAACTACTTCCACAATTCAACTATCTACACAATTTTGGTATCAGAACGTTCAGCTTATGCCGGCAAATACTTTTGGTATTAAAATATTTTATATTTTTATATTATGTACAGCTTTTTCTGCGATTTTTGGTCTCATTGAAATGAATGGGATTGCTCAATTTTCAGCTTAATCCTATCACTTTTTGAACTTTTACTCTTATAGGTTAACTTTAACCTAGAGACTTCATTCAAATTTCAACAAACTCACAAGACTCTGCTATTAATGGGTTATCTTTTTGATTTCTATTATAGTTTTTCTAACATCACAGGTAGAAGTTGAGGTATGGCTTGAGATTTTCAGGAAAAAATCACAAATTGTAATGGGTAGAGATGGAATGAATGACCCTCCTTTGCTCAGTTTCTGGCTTTGTCCTGAGAAAACTTAAGTCCCAATGAAGTGAGACGTACCTTCGTTTTGAGCTATAAATCATGAATGTACTCCAAATATTGTGGTAGTTCATTTCTTTGAGAATATTCAAAATTAAAATGTCTCTCCACTCTAAACTGAAAATTCCACTAACTTTTGACCTTCACATTTTCTAGAAACAACTCTTTCCAACACCCAGATCGTTTGGAGTACGGAAACAAATTATCTCAAAGTAGGAATTTGTCAGCTTTTCAGAATGGGTTTCATTTTGTCCTTAATTGTTAGATTTCTTTCTCTACAAGCCTCAGAAGGAGGCGAGACCCTGATTCTGTCTCTTTGAAACCCATGTTAAAGGAACAGATTTTCTCCCATCAGCTTCAGACAGCAAAAATGCCCCCTCCTCCTTCGCTGCTCTCTCATTGGCTGAGAATTTTCAATAGTCTTCTGCCTAAAAGGAAATATACACCCACACATGAGGCATCAATTCAACCGACTTGGTCACAGGAGTCTTGTATTAACTTGATGTGTTCTGCGTTACCATGGCAACGTGCTTAGCAACATTTAACAACATTTTAGACTCAACTGTATCAACATTGCTTTATTAATGCACACTCCTGTCATCTGTTACCATGGCAACACAAGGAACTACAAATCACTTCAACCAAGTCTCATAGGAATGAATATAAAAAGCAGAATATTGAGCCATGAACAGACTTCTGTTTTTGATCTATCTGTACTTAAAACTAGAAACAAGTTAAATTTGACCGTGAGAAGGTGGGAAAGTGCCCTGCTCCCTCCCAGCTTCCTGACTGGTTGAGAGGTCAATCTTCTGGCTAAATGGAATCACACACACGTGAGACATCAAATCGATCAGCTTGGCCTAAGGAATCCATGCATTCGCATATAAATCCATACATGCTTCCATCCATCCAATAAACTATCAAACAATCCATCCGTCATTTCATTCATCCATCCCAAATTAAGTCTGAACATATGTTAATCTATCAGTTTCACATATCATCAAATGTTTCTAAATTCACAGTTCAGCCAATTGTAAAAATGTACCCATTAAACTATTCTAATTCAAATGCCAGCTGTTTAACATTTCAAATTTGAGTTTTTAATGTTCTAAGATTATTTTCTGCTGTTTAGCATTTTTATCCATTCTCTACCTATATTCTGAGCTTCATTACACTTGATGATTTTTGCTTCTAAATCTTTAAATTCAGCTCATTTGCCAGTTTAGCTCAGTTTCAGCTTCACTTCAGCTATTCAACAACTTCAGCAATCAGTTACCAAATTTAGCACAAGCTGCTAATTTCACAGTTGAGCTAAATGTAAAGATTAAACTGTTAAAATAGTCCTGAAATAACAGGTGTTTAGACATTTTAGCTGTCCAGATTTTTATACAATGTTCAGATTTCAGTTTTTTGCTATTTAGGATTATTTTTCTCCATTCTTCACTTACTTTTTGTGCTTTATTTGCTTCATGTTAGTGATTTTTGCTTCTACATCTTTCAACACATTTAGCTCATTTAGACAGTTTTGCTTACTTTCAGCTTCAGTTCAGCTATTAAGCTGATTCAGCCAACAGTTTAAGCTATCCAGCATTCAAACAGCATTTCTGCAAGACGTGCAATTTATCTAGTTCATGGTTATTTTATTCTGTATAGTACCTCGTTCTGTAGTGGTGACATCCTGTAAATAACAGTGAGGACAAGAAATCTAAATTTTTGTGCTGTTTGAGTAGTTGGTATACCAAACTGTGGTTAATATGGCAATATGATCTATGTAATGATACATGACACAAGGGCTTTTCCCCTATGTCCTAATCAGAAATCTGGATTTACAGCAACATGGGCTATCTCATCTAACTGAATATCATGTAGGGGTTGAATTTACTCTAGTTTAAAATACTGTTATGCTTTTAGGGATGGAGTACGACTTTGAAAAGAACAATGGTGAAACCTTCAACATCCCGTATGACTACACATCAATCATGCACTATGGACGGTAAATGATCCTGACGGCAAACCTCTGAGTTTAGATGCAAGTATTAATTATTTGCTACTGTCAGGAATGTCTTCTCGTCAAACGGAAAGGACACGATCATCCCAAAGCAGGAAGCAAAGAATATGGGACAGAGACGCCAACTGATGCAGTCTGATATCGACAGAGTTCAGAAATTCTACCACTGTGGTAAGTTCCGGTTCTCAATCATACTGGTACTCTGAACCGTGCTGGCGCACTTGTTCCTGTGTTCAATCGTCTGATATTTTAATTGTTCTCAGGCTTTTCATTGCAGTGACTTTGGTAATGGCAAAAAGGATCTGGAACGATTAATTCTGAAAGGGCTGATATTAATGTGCAGAGAATAAACCATTGGTTGATTTCAGTTACTAATCAGATTAAAAGGAAAAAAAAGAGGGGATCACCACAATTTCAAATCTGCTAATGTCCTAAATATTCTAGATGGAGCAAAAAGAAATTAAAACTATATCCTTGACCTTTAAATAACTTTCAGAGAATATATGGTCTTTAGCAAATTTAAAAGTATTTCCAAGACTAACTAGAATTGTGTGCGTGTTTAAGTTTGATATCTTGAACATTTAATTTCTGTGTGAAGGTCCAAACATAACTGCATTTGCACTGAACTCTTCTTCTCCCCGCCGCCCCCCAGATTCTGAGGAAGCAAAGACCAAAACGGAGAGCTGATCAAACCTCTCTGTAGTACAGCAGCTCATCCAGCAGGGGTCGCAGCATTACCACGGTCCAGGACTTCACCAAAACTGTTTTTTATATAAACTCTGTTCTGTTGGATTAATATGGAGGGAGTGATTTTAGTAACCCAACCACTGAAGAATCTGGATGTTCATGTAAAATAAAGGAACTAACAAGAGTTGAATGAATCTATAATCATTACTGTGTGTGTTTTATAGGTGGACAAATTTGAACTTCCACCTGTACTGTGTGGGCATTTTTTACATTGTGGGGATAGTTTGCTGGTCCACACAACGCTAAGCACCCTAAAGTGTGTGTGTGTGTGTGTGTGTGTGTGTGTGTGTGTGTGTGTGTGTGTGTGTGTGTGTGTGTGTGTGTGTGTGTGTGTGTGTGTGTGTGTGTGTGTGTGTGTGTGTGTGTGTGTGTGTGTGTGTGTGTGTGTGTGTGTGTGTGTGTGTGTGTGTGTGTGTGTGTGTGTGTGTGTGTGTGTGTGTGTGTGTGTGTGTGTGTGTGTGTGTGTGTGTGTGTGTGTGTGTGTGTGTGTGTGTGTGTGTGTGTGTGTGTGTGTGTGTGTGTGTGTGTGTGTGTGTGTGTGTGTGTGTGTGTGTGTGTGTGTGTGTGTGTGTGTGTGTGTGTGTGTGTGTGTGTGTGTGTGTGTGTGTGTGTGTGTGTGTGTGTGTGTGTGTGTGTGTGTGTGTGTGTGTGTGTGTGTGTGTGTGTGTGTGTGTGTGTGTGTGTGTGTGTGTGTGTGTGTGTGTGTGTGTGTGTGTGTGTGTGTGTGTGTGTGTGTGTGTGTGTGTGTGTGTGTGTGTGTGTGTGTGTGTGTGTGTGTGTGTGTGTGTGTGTGTGTGTGTGTGTGTGTGTGTGTGTGTGTGTGTGTGTGTGTGTGTGTGTGTGTGTGTGTGTGTGTGTGTGTGTGTGTGTGTCTTTACCTGTCCAGTTAAACCCGACCAAGGCTGTTGCTAAAGGATCTATTCATGCAAATGTGAGCTCATAAGTGCAATAACAAGATTAGGCTAATTATATGTAGTTGGTGTACACCAATGAATTAACTTAATAGCTAGAAGCTTTCAGATCTGAGAAGAGTTGTGTATCCCTTCAAACTAGCTATGAATTAAGTTTTTTTTCTTCAAATGACTAAAAGTGAACAAAAACCTAGAAGCTGAAGTTAAATTTAGAAGTACCATTTCTGATTGGGTTTTCTTAGCTGAATGTCCTCTTGGCCTGCAGGGATCTGAACCAAATGACAAATGACCCACACTTGTAGAGCGCCTGTCAGAGTCAGAGGACTCTAAAGCGCTTCACAATACAGTATCATTCATCCATTCACACACTGATCGTGATGAGCTACATTGTAGCCACAGCTGCCCTGAGGCGCACTGACAGAGGTGAGGCTGCTGAACACAGGCACCACCAACAGTCCCTCAAACCAGCACCAGCAGGCAATGTGAGTTAAGTGTTTTGCCTGAGGCCACAACAGCGGACCTCTTCTCTGCTGGGACTCGGGCTCGATCCCACAACCATATGATTCCTGGACAACCCGCTCTACCTCCTGAGCTACTGCTGTCTCAACCTGGTTCGGAGCTCTTAGGATGTGGATCTGAAAGTCCCACCAAATCACCTGCACACCCTCATTAAGTTTGCAAGTGAAGGATAAGAATAAGAATAAGTGCTGTTAGATAAAAAGGAAAATTCAAACAAGATGATCAACAGGTGTGAACGCCAGGATTTCTTTTTATCAAAGCCTGTTATTTTGTTTTTGTGGGGAAAATGTTCAAATTTGTACATGGAGGGGGTGGAGCTTAAAACGGATAGTCTAGCCATCCACTTAGTATCATTTAGGGTTCCAGCAATAAGTTTTCACTGATAATTCAACCTCATTTGGAAACTAAATGCATGAACCTGTACCAAATAAAGAAAGTGTGTGTGTCTTTAAAAATAAAAACACTGCATAAAAATAAAAACACTGCATAGAACACATCAAATGAATGAAAGTTAACAGAAAATTCAGAAGCTGAAGTTAAATTAAGTCCCAATTCTAACTGGTGAGCTTGGGTCTCTTTGGCTGAACGTCCAATCCTTCATGGTATTTTGGTTCCTGATAAAACTGGTGATCAATATTTTTAAATGGTAAAGTATAATCGTGCCTGAACATTGGGGTTTACGCAGGTGAACTAGAGGTGAACTGTGACTACGTGTGGGGGGATGGATTCTGACTGTGGTCTGTGCTCATGCACCAAACTACAGCTCATGACCCCCCCCCCCCCCCAAACCCCCACCCCTTTTTAGACACCTTGGAGGGGCTGCTGGAGAGCGCTCCTTCCGGTGACTCCCTCGTTCTGCTGGGGGACTTTAATGCAATGACGGTGAGACCTGGAGAGGTGTGGTTGGGACGAACGGACCCCTGATCTGAATTTGAGTGGTGTTTTGTTATTGGGCTTCTGTGCTGGTCATGTATTGTCCATAATGAACACCATGTTCAGACATAAAGGTGTCCATATGTGCTCTTGGCACCAGGATACCTTCGGCCGCGGCTTGATGATCAACTTTGTTGTTGTTTCATCTGACCTGTGGCCGCATGTCTTGGACACTCGGGTGAAGAGAGGGGCAGAGCTGTCAACTGACCACTACCTGGTGGTGAGTTTGCTCCGATGGTGGGGGAGGATGCCGGTCAGACCAGACATGTCTAAACATATCGTGAGGGTCTGCTGGGAACATCTTGCAGAGTTTCCTGTCAGAAGGAGCTTCAATTCCCACCTCCGACAGAACTTCCAAAATGTTCCGCGGGAGGCGGGGGACAATGAGTCTGAATGGACCCTGTTACATGCCTCCATGTTGTCGGCCAACTGGAGCTGTGGCCGCAGGGTCGTCGGTGCCTGTCGTGGCGGCAACCCCTGAACCCGCTGGTGGACACCGGTGGTAGGGATGCTGTCAAGCTGAAGTCATTTATTTTTATACTCTTTTTTTTTTTAAACCAGAGATCTTGTCTCAATGGCATTGAAAAGGATACAACCTACAAAGAAGAAACACACTGGTGGAAAACATCTATGTTCTTTCAGCTTTAGTTCGTAAAGGTTCTTGTTCCTCTAACCTCACGAGTAAGACTATAAATGAGGATAAATGTTTAGAAGTTAGCTGATCTTACCAGACAGCAGCATTGTGGAACCTTTTCTTCTCTGTAAAGAGATTTAAGGGTCACTTGATAGCCTTCTGCTTCTAATCTACAGAACAATTTAAAGTTTGAACAAACTTGGTGCACATGAAGTCACTCAAGTGGGATGAGGGTGCAGCCGTGACCCCTCCAGAAATGAGTTTCTACCTGGTCGTCGGAGATAAGACGACTCTGCTGTAGTAAATGCATTCTGCATACTTATCAGCTCAAATAGAGGAAAACTAAGGTGCCCTTATCCAGCATTCCTCTTTCCCATGAAGAAACTTTAAAATCCTATAATCTGTTCTACATCAGAAGCAGCTGCTCATGTTTTCTAAAAGCCTCTAAAGAGATGAAGAGCAATCAGTCCAAATCCAGGTTTATCTCCCAGAGCAGCAGGATTTCTCTATTAGGTTCTTCATCAAGAAGAACATTTAAAACAATAGCTCAGATAAGTAGGTTTTGAAGGTTATGAACAATTACTATCTGACCTACTGTAGAAAGTTTCCAAGTGATTAATGCTGATCGTATTGACACATTAATGGGGATGTTATGGGGTGTCTGCAGAAGAAGCATCCTATGAACACACCAGTGCAACGAGCAGATGGAGTGGAAAATTATGTTCCTTAGGGGTGATGTGATAACTGAGAGCCACTGTTTAATGGAAAACTATTTCCTGACCACACCCACCCATCCCGATTGGCTGGGCGTTTACTGTATGTGTACATGTCAGAATCTAATTTAAGAAGTATAAATCCACACAGCTCTCTGGCTGTTTTAGTTGAAAGAGAGAAAGTTTAAGGATTTGTGTTATTTTGAAGCCAAAACCTAACAACGTGTAACTCACATTTGCAGTTAGCCATAGACAAAAGTGTCAGATCATTGTTTTTGGGGGGTGGTTGATGACAGTCCTCTGTTTCTGGAGTTTCTGCAGGTAGACTTTCAGATGAGGCCAGGTGAAGCTTAGGCAAGGGGTCATTTAAGGTCAGGTAAGCAGCTGAAGGCAAGATCTGCTACTGAACAATGCTGAAGAATGTTTGCAGCAAGTGATTGATTCCTAATCAAGCAGCAGTTTCAGAGGTGGCTCTCAAACTGATGAGTTCAGATAAACTCTGGTTCAGGTGGTTAAAACAGCTGATGGGAAACATAATGCAAAAGTGTTTTTTTCTTCTGTTTATCCAACTGGTGGAAACCTCTCTCTGACCTCCTCACATCAACGAAAATGTTTAAAATGTAACTAAGCAAAAATGGCTTCAAGGTTGGTTTCAGACTTTAGAAAGAAAACAGCAGAAACAAATACAACTATTTCTGTAGCACATTTTAAAACAAAAGGATTGACCCAAGTGCTTTACAAGTTAGAAGAAAGATAAAAATCACGAGACACTTCACAAAAAAAAATGAAATGATTTTAAAAGATCATTACAGCAAATGATCTGTCACCTTTGGTCTTTAGCCTGGTGCGCTGCACAACCAGTAGGCTTTGATCACTGGACCTCAGGGACCTGCTGGGGGTGTAGGGACTAAGAAGATCACCAATGTAAGATGGTGCTTGTCCATGTAAGGCCCTATAGACCAGAACCAGGATCTTGAAATGAACCCTGAAGTTGACTGGCAGCCAGTGAAGCTGGAGGAGAAGCCTGGTGATGTGGGTGTGTTTGGAGGACTTGGTCAGAAGCCGAGCACAGGCATTCTGAACCACCTGTAGACGGTTCAGGGAGGTTCTGCTCAGACACGTGAAAAGAGAGTTACAGTAGTCCAAGCGTGAGGAGATGAAGGAGTGGATAACTGTCTCAAGTTCAGAGCAAGACAGATTGGGACTCAGCTTAGCAATGTTCCTGAGATGGAAGAAGGAAGAGCGAACAAGAGAACTGATATGAGAATCCAGGGTGACTTTAACATACAGAGTTAAGTTAAAAACAAGCTGGAAACATTATTCTTTAAAATAAATGCAACAAAAAAATGCAGACAAATGCAAGAAAATGTATGAAAACATGACACAAATTGAGTTAAACTTGATGGATACATATTGACTT